GGAGAGAGATGAAGTCTTAGAGAGGGAGAGAAAGGTACGGTAAAGAGACAGAGCAAAGTTACACTTTAGTGCGAATATTTTTTAGAGTAGGATGGTGAGAATATACTTAAGGAGAAAAAGAGTGTAAAAAAAGTGATTTAAAAAGAAAAAGCTTCATATGCTGTTTGGAGAACTGTTTTCTATTATAATAAAATATATATTAAAATACAAATTAAAAAAATCCAAATTAATTGCAATTTCCCTGAATTTTCTTTTCTTAAATCTTACCAATTAAAAAGTTAACTAAAAGGTTTAAAATTTTGTTAGACAAAAAGAAAAAAGAGATATTAATTTTTAAAAAATGTTTGAACACACAAATTTTAAAAAATTTATTAGATGCCATTAGAACTTAATTTTAAAATCCATAAACTCAAAAAGTTGATGAGCTAAAATATTTTTGTAATTTAACTTTGAGCTAAAATATTTTTGTAATTTAACTTTGTTATCAAATCATCATTGTAAATTTTGTGTATAATAAGTCTTAAAATAGAAATTTGAACTTTCAGGGTCTATTAAGCCTACAAATCATAAAAAAATGTTAGATTATTGACCAATTCAAAAAGACAAAAAAAAATATAATGTAACAATACAGAAGCATGTAGATACGTACACTACTATTAAATTTTCAAATTTTCAAATTTTCAAATTTTCAAATCTCTAATTTTCTAGAGTATTGAAATATATGAATTAATATATTATATTAAAAAATGAAAACTTTAAAATAACTATCTTTTCTTCAAGGAATAAAGAACAGATAAAAATTACTTGGAGGGAACACAATACTCTAAACTCAAATCTCGCAAATTTTCCATAAAGAATCGCTACCTCGATCCCTGCAAAAGTAAATGGAGAACTTCACGGGAGATCGAGAATGAAAAGTGGTAGGGATGGGGACGGGAAAGGTTTCCCGCCTCACCCCATCATATATATATATATAATGGTTGTCCTTATTTAAAATTAATGACCAAAGTTCAAGTATACATCCTAGCATGAGTTAAGGTGAATAAGTTAAAAATATTCAATAACCTAATAAGGACTAAAATGACCGTAAGGAAATAGAATGGACCTTCAAAACGTTTTAAGAAAAAAAATATTTTTTTGGATAGCTAGAAACAAAAATAAAATAAATTTTAAAGTTCACAATTTTAAACTGTAAATTAATTTTAAAAGTAGACTATATAAGAAAAGGGACATAAGTTCTCCAGTGATGCGCTGTCAGTAAAATTGTTTCTAATAAAGAAAAAAGAGAACTAATGTTAGACATATGTACCTTTTATGTGTTGCTCCATTGACTAAGTTCCGGTGTGCAAACATTCTTCATGAATAACAGTGTTGGAATTTAACAGTCACCGGGTTTAGTTTTCGATCCAGCTTTTATTTCTGTCCTGCACAGAAAAATGAATTGTAAGCCAAAGTAGTCGGCAAAGGATTGTTAATAGAATTTACATTCAGCAATATAAGATCCAAGCGTATCTTCCTTTGATACAAGGCTCATTTTTTTCCAAAATCATGTCGAAGGTTCCACTGCACTCCAAATTTCTAACGCTTTCCTTCATTTCTGTGTGATATTTTCGCTGCCAATTAATACGAGAGGCTCAGTCCTCTTGTGGCGTCAACACCACACACACACTGAAACCTAGCAGTTACTTCTCTGCTTGTTTGGCCTTGTATGAATAATAATATTGATTACCTTTCGGCCCTCATTAACTACTCCAAAATGATGTCGAGTCCTCAGGAGAGCTTGTCTTCGTCCATGACCATTCTATCGGGGGTGGCATCACTCACCGTCTCGGTAGCTCTCCTCCGAACCGAGCAATGATTAGCCGTGACCATAGACAGGAATCAAGAACTGGTTGACATATTCGAAGGCGTCAAATTCAAGTGGGTTCTGTTTTCTTCGCGTATTGAAAGTCCAATTTCAAATAAGAACCGTGATGGTTATGCGCATGAGTGGTCAGATGTTAAACACTTCGAGCTAAGCTTTCACAAGAAACAAGGATATGGCACCGGGATTCTACCTTCTAATGGCTGAGTTGTTATCAATTGTTGTTGTAGTGGTGTACGTCTTCAGATTGTACATATGGTTAGTTTGTTGGAGCTGTAACAGTATGGATGTTATATTTTGTTAGGCTGTTAATAGGATGATTTTGTGTATAAATATTCGCGTAATCTGGTTATTCATTAGGTAGAAAACCTGGAATTTTTTACCCACTATCACCTTCCAAATATTCTGCGAGAACATGCCATAAGAGACGAAAAGAAGGCCGTGAAGCTCCATACATTAGATTACAGTGGCAGATTATTGGGGTTCAATCGATCTTAATCATCCTGCAACATTTGACACAATCGTGAACCCGGAAACTTAGAAGGAACTAGTCGGCTATCTCAATAAGTTTGTTGGGAGGAAAGAGTACTATAAAAGAGTAGGAAAGGCTTGGAAACGTGAGCATTTGTTGTATGGACCAAGAGGTACAGGGAAGTCAAGCTTGGTTGCTCCCATGGCTAACTATCTGAAGTTTGACATTTAGGATATGTGGACCTTAGGGAAGTCCAATACATTCAGAGTTAAGAAGATTATTGATTGGCTCTGGAAGTTGTTCAATATTAGCAAATGAAGATATTGATTGCTCTATTGAGCTGCAAGATAGAAGTTCAGATTCAGAATATCGAACTAAATTGCAGAGGATGTAAAGGTAGGTCCCTAACCTGCACGAAATGTATCTAATGTTTCATGAATTGTTTGGGCAGCAGCTAACGAAGCTACTTATAAAATTGTTTGTTGCACTCAGATTATTGTCTGGGTTATTCAACTTCATTGATGGCCTATGGTCGAGCTGAGGAGACTAGCGGATAGTGTATTGAGCAGCTGGGTACAGTCCAACCAGCCGCTCTACGTGGTTTGTGGTCAATACCACTATCCGCTAGTCTCCTCTGCTCGACCATAGGACATCAATGAAGTTCAATAACCCAGACAATAATCTGAGTGCAACAAACAATTATAAGTAGCTTCGACTTCAGTGGTTCAAAGATACTGGCCTATAGTTACCTATTAATTCAGGAACACTCCCACTTTAAAGAAATTGAAGAGCTATTAAATAAATGTCAGGCAACACCTACTGAATTAGTTGGAGAGCTAATGAAGACGGACAACGTTACAAGTTCACTTCAAGGCCTTATTCAATTCCTCCACGGAAAGAGAGAGGCGAGTCGAGCGCCAGACCGCAGAATAGACGCAGGAAAAGCTTAGCAAGAGACTACTATTCTGTTATCCCCCTTAAGATCAAATGGAAATTTGCTTACAAATTAGGTTTTCGATTAAGATTCTCTCTCTCTCTCTGCTTTCATACCTTCTCCCAATGGATGTTTCTCTCGTTTTATCCAAAAGCAGTACTCGCACTGAATTATTTTTATAGTACGGTTGCAATAAATTCATTCTACTCGGTATTCAGTCTGCATGATGTGCCTCTGCACTACAGGCATCTCGGGAATCGATTTCTATGTACCATCTTAGATCATGAATGGAGGTTCCAGAGCTTTTGCTCTAAAATAGACATCGGCCACTAAGAGTAGTAAAGAAAGAAAGATACTATAGAAAGCCAGATTTATCAACAAGCCTAATATATTTCATAAGAGAGCACCGGTTGTCGAGATTCAGTGCACTTGCAGCTCCTACGAAATTCCCCGTCCTTCTCTGCTGCTTTGAGTTCTTAGTTCTCGAAGCTATTCACTCCTATAACTTTTGTTCGCCTGTTCCAATCATTGAAAACATCTCCGCATAGTCCATTACAGTCCAACCAGTTTTGTTCGGTATCAACCGTTCTTTTCTTTCGTTTTGCTCTTCTAAATTATAGTAGTAAAGCGAGAACCTGACTTGCGGTAGTAAAGGTTTTCTTATTTTGTTGATATATCCTTGCGGTAATTTATCGAGTTCAAGGAACAAGAAAGCTTGATTATCATAGTTCATGAGACGGAATATAATACTATGATGAACTTCGCAGCAGTACAGAAACTTCTATATCAAGAAAACAGACATAATCGAAACCTAAATCAACCAGACTCGCAGATATTTATACGCAGTTGCAGAAGAACAGAGGAAAAACATGTTCATACTTACATCAGTAGAGAAGCCGAGCGGTACGATTGGATTTGAAAGAAAATTGTCCTCAGATCAAGATCCTACGCCTGGTAAACAAAATTTCTGTTTCTCGTGCGCGCCAAGAAACGAGCATCGCAAAAAGAATTGTACAGACCTTTCATGTACTGAAAGCGAGGCCGAGAACTACACATCCAGATCGGGTTTTCTTTTTACGCATATTGGTGATGCAATCGCACGGCTTCGTAGTCGTTCGCTATTTATACTACGTCAGTGGAGCTAAGCACCCTGTTCTAGAAAGTACTCGATGTGGGATTCCATCTTCCAAATTTGCAGTTGTTATTTTGTAGAATTATCAATAATCATATTTTATCAATATTATTATATTATTCTCGTATTAATTTCTTTTCCTAAAATATCACTTTCGCATAAAGTAATTTCCTCAAATACTCAAAAATGACGCCTCCAACATGTATGGAGACTTTTATTTTATTTCATTTATGGACAAAACGTGATGCTACTTCAATGACAAAAAAAAAAAAAAAAAAAAACTAAATAATAATAAATAAATAAATAAATGCTATTAATATTACCATCGGGTGATTAATATGTTTGTTTGAATTAAGAAAATAGTTATAAGATGACAAATAAACATTTCTTATTACTATGAGTACTAATTTGAAAGCAAGTTAACATGCAAATGTTGTATTCGAGTTTCAGGAATCAAAATAGTTATAATAATTCAATATCCATTTATAATTTTTTCTGGAAAAATGACTCCGAACGAAATCATTCATTAATATATGTGTGTATACATTCATTAATATATGTGCCTGTGTGTGTATATATATATATAGAGCGAGAAAGATCATCAAAGACCATAAGCCAGCCAGTAAGATATAAGCAGCAGCAATGTTGTTCACTGCTAAATTTATCATTGTGATTGTGAAGCATCAAAGGAATTGGTTATGTCATGCATTTCACCAAGAACACATCTGACGACCCGACTCCACCATGTCCTATCTACAAGATATATATATATATAGAGAGAGAGAGAGAGAGAGATATATAAACCTATATTCACAGAGTTGCTAAATACATAATGCAAGTAGAAGAGGCAAGATGCAATAGATTCCCGACGCAAGCCAGGCCTCGGCCACGAACAATTTCGTTCTATGTACAGGTATGCTTTCTCCAGGAGCAACTGAAACAAGTATTCTTCGATTTCCATTCACTCGTTTCCACACACAAAAAGAATGTAAAATAGAAATGTTGATGCCCCGTTTGATTTTGAAAATTAAGCTCACCAATGAGCTTCCTTATTTTGTTATCTACTTTTTAAGTATGTTTTAAAAAACCAAGCCAAATTTCGAAACGAAAAAGTAGTATAAAAAACTTGTTTTTATTTTTGAAATTTGGCTAAGAATTCAAACGTTAGGAATAAAATCCATGCTGAGAAAAACCAACGCGTCACACCATCTCAGTTAATGCAGTAGAATAAAAAGTTCTGAGTACCTCTTATGCCAAATTCTTCCTAGCCCTAAGCAGATTGAGCTTGTCCCTCCACTGAGCTGAAATAGAGACCAATCGTGATAACTAAATGTAAGTAGCTCAAACATTGAATAACCAAAAAGGGAAAATGGGGCTTATTTTTTGTCCTAAACAGAGGGATTCTTTGGAAGAACTTTTAGAACTATCCATAACACCACAAGGTCATCCCATATTAGCAATTAATTATTCTTGGTATTCTTAAGTATGCAAGTTTCTGTTCTAAATCAGAGAAATAAAATTGATTTGGAACATTCAGAATTGAAAAATGTTAATTGAGCAACAAAATCCATACCAGCATCTCTGTAGCGCTCTTCAACAGCAGCAATCAGCATATTCCTCACCAGATCAAACTCTTTGGCTTCCACACAAGGCTGACCACTGGGCCTGAAAACAAAAAAAAAAATCAATTATCCCTTTCCTCTCATCAAATGAAGCAGAAGTTTCAAGTGGCTGTTGAAAGATTCACGTCCCCCCTATTCCTCGAATATACACAAAAAATATCTTATTACCTATCCAGTTCGGTGAATAGTAAACCGTCCGTAGCAGGGGTCTGGGTTGACAGCTTGCCAGTTTCAACAACTCGCATACCGTCACTGTATGCAAGATACTTGTTCACTTGAATTGGGACCTGCAACAATTGCAAGAAGTAACATCATTCAGCACACATGGAACACAATCATGCCCAAAATATGAAAAACATCCAAATACAGCTTACACCAATGACTACAGACATTCTATAACCAATAACAAATGAACAAATTCTCCAAAAGCCCATATATCAACAATTCTTTGGCTACTTAAAGAGGCACTTGACCGAAATCACTACGAAGCACGAAAAATTTGAAGTTACCTTGCATCGGACTGCAATATTTATAGCATCTGAAGGTCGAAGATCAAAGCTGAGGCAGTCGGTGTCACAACCAATCTGAAACATATAAAATTTCAATCTCTTAAAATTACCTAAGAGAAGGGTAAAGAATCCAGGGAGAGAAACTAATACATGCCTTTGAGAGGTATAACTGAGCAAAATATGCCTCATGCACTCTCTTGGTAACCCTTACAAGTTTGACCTGCTTCGTAATTAACATTAGAAAGAGCCCACATCCCACTTAAGCTTACAAAAAAATAAGATGGAAAGATGGAGAAATAATGCAAAACATACTTCATAACCCATCTTGTCAATCATCTCTTTCACCACTTGATACATGGTTGGCCTGGCCTGGAAACCAGATAATATGTTACAAAGTCCTTTTCAGTAGAATATAATTCAAATTCAAGAGAAATTTGAACTATATCTGATCACAGGAGAAGACAAAGAAAACATACAATTGGAACATTGCGCACAGCAGCCATAAGCAGAACGCTTGGCATTTCCACTGCAAAAGATGAAGAATTGACAGGGGACACAAAAACAATGTCAAATTCGTTCAATAACATTAAGCTCACGTAACAGCCCAAAACCACCACCGCTAGCAAATATTGTCCCTTTTGGGCTTTCCCTCAAGGATTTAAAACGCGTCTACTAGGGAGAGGTTTTCACACCCTTATGAGAAATGTTTCGTTCCCTCTCTGATGTGGGATCTCACAGCTCATGTTAGAAACTTTCGTCCATGAATACTTACACACGATTATGGGAAGAAGAAGACCAGTTCCATCTTCCATCTTCAACACAATTGCGGGATGTGGAGCATAATCAGGCAGATGCCCACCGTGAGGGTTGTTGTGAACACACCTTAAGTGCCTACCATCCCTCATTTTAATCATGAAACCATCCGCACCACTTTTCACCTCAACTGCACAGAACAAACAAATTTTGGAGCAATTCTGCAACTTAATGCTTCTGTGTAATAAAATGAATCAAGTGTTCAATAAAAAAAAAAAAAACGTAATCATATGATCTAGGCATCAGCTTAGCATACCAGCCTCAACCACGCTCGATTCAACGTACTCTTCGTCCTTCTCGTTGAAGTTCTCTGCTGTACTTCCATTGTCGTCAGATGATGAACTGAAGCTGCAACGCACTGTCGTGCATTTTCTAGCACAACCTTTGCGAGAAGGCGCTGGAAACTTAGCATTCAAACCGTTGATCCCTGTAAATCCCCAAAATTCACCTCTTCGAAAACTAAAAGCCATCAAAGAACGCTTAATTGGCAGAGAACAAAATCCTGCTTGCTTCGCATGAAAAGTAGGGCAAACAACTGGTCCTTGCAAAGACCCCATCTCGTGTCCTTCAGTTCACCCAAATGAAAATGATCAGACAAAGTTAACAAGCACAACTCCCAATTTCAACCAAAAAAATACAAAGACGCATATAATTTGTGGACGCTAGAAGCTCAAAGTCATCACTTAGTCATCAGTTTGAAAAATTCAAGTATTAGTCCCCTGGCGACGGAATAGCAAGATCAACAGTCTTAACAACTCGGTAGGTGTTTAAAGATCCATTACCTTTTATAGATACGAAAATTACGCCGAATCACGACCGAAATTCGTCACAGGAGTCTCCGAATAGTTCGCTAAAAATCGGCGATCACACCTCGATCCGGTAAAATTCCCGCCAGATTCTCAATCCCGGAACTCTAGAATCTAATGTATGAATTTCAAGCACGGAACCGATGGCTAAATTTAAGTTCACAAATTATCAACAATACAGATCGAAGATGAAAATCGACAGAAAATAAAAAGAGAGAAGGTAGTTGTAAAGACCGACAAGATGAAAGGATAAGGAGGAACCGTAGACGAGCAAGAAGATAAATGGATTCTTCAGAGAGGAAGGCTTGTGAATGAAGACTTTTGCTCGTAACACACGCCATCGCTTAATTATTCATAAATTCATAGGTATTCTAAATTACCATTCTGGCCCTCGGAGCATCAGTGAAGAAAACGACGGAGTTTAAAAGGATCATAAACATATCGAATATTCTCGACAGCAATCATTAATTTTTTTAAATAATAAATATTAGGTAGTTAAATTATTAAAAATAAAAAAAAAACAAAAGGAAATACATTATGAAAATAAGGTGGTTTTGTATTAATAATTCTCAAGATTACGATTAAATTTCTTAATCAACCTAAATTTATTTAAAATAATAAAATAATCCGCGAAGGCAAATAAATTAGAGTATATATTGGAGGGTGTTTGCGACATTTTGAAAGGAGACGGATAAAATTGGGTCTGTAATCGTCACCCAGCATTCAGCTTCCATCATAAATAAAATACTCTTTTATCGTCGATGGCGGCGGAACAGATCAAAGGGTTCTGATCAGTGCCACGTGTCTTACAATCGTCCTGAAACGTCATTGGATAAGGCTATCGGGGGTGAAAATATCAGTTTTATATTCCATTTCCCCATAAAATATCTAGTCTCAAAGACTTCCGCCATGACACCTCAGTGGGTGTGACATTTAAGAATTGACGGTTGGGATAAATCATCCCCTCCGCATATATGTCGAGGATATTATATACTAATTTTGAAAATTACTTGATATTATTTATATTACAAGCTAAATATATATCATGTTTCAATTAAATTAAAATATATTTTAAGGAGGAAATCTTATAGGCACAAAAATAAGGTAAGTGAAGCTGGATCCAAGGGATGATTAACAATAATACATGAAATGATTAATATTAATGGATCAAACTTGGTCCATTTCTGTATCACTCCATTGGTTTAAACAGACTGACCAAATTTGCTCCATTAATTCATATAAACTTAGTCCTTAACTAGAGAACCTTTCTTAAGCTCATTCCAATTAATGTCTTTAATTATGTTTATCTAGAAGTTCCTCCACTAAAACCCGGTGGCGTCCAAATCCCGCCGCCGTCGCCGGCCACGTAAGACAAGCACCCCAATGGAACCAAGCACAGGCCTCTACTTCTGAGATCTCGATCTAGCTGCCCTTCATGTCCACCTTCCACCGGACTCTGAAATATATAATAATAATAATAATACACAAATTAAATTCAGAGAAAAGAAAATCATATTTCTTTATTTTTACCCGATATGTCGGCCTAGTGGTTTTGTTGCAGGAGGGCTTCATGTATGGAACGCTCAACGTCTGCAGTTTTAAAGGGTTAGTTTCTTTGAAACGACATGATTCAAAGGGGCAGGAAATTAGGAAGTAAAAGGAGGGATAAAAGAAGTACCTCGACTTGATTTTGAAGGAATTTAATGTATCCAATGGCCTCCATTAACACAGATGCTGTGTCTGTCTGCAACACATCAGCATTACACGTCATTCTAAAACCTATGTTCTTTAAGGAACAACAAACAAACAAAACAGGCATCCAACCCTAAAAAGAGCTAACTACAACTCTACTACAACGTATCTAGGGTTGGTCTTCCAGAAATCCCAATGGGTCAAATCATTTAAACTTATTCATAATATTATTAAACTTTAATGGTCTAAGCCCGCGTTTAATATTGTCGGCTTTTAACTCCCTCACAATTTTTAGAATGTGTCAGTTAATCAGAGGTTTACACACCCATTTGAGAAATATTTTGTTCTCTTCTCGGTGGAATCTCACAATTCACTCTTTTAGGGACCTAGAGTTTTCCCTGTCACACAACCCTCTGTTTGATTCTGATACACTCAAACTCACGGCTAATAGATATTGTATACGGATTAAATTATAAAAGAGGGGAAGTTTATAGTTACCTTGCCAAAGGGTGCGACCAATTGTTGGAGGGCAGCAATTCTATCACCTAATTTCTCTTTTCTAACCTGCGAAGAAGAAGAAAACCCAAGCACTGAATATACTTTTAATGAAGTAAATAAGACTAAATTTAGGGTTGAAACAAAACCTTAAATGGAGGGCAAGAAGCGCGTGAGTCCAATCGCGATTTCTTAAGAGGAGGAGGAGGAGATGGTTGATTGAGCATTGGTCGGATGCAGGTACAAGGTCGTTTTGGTTCAGTTAGTTCAGCGCTGAAGGGTGTTGTCACCTTTAAGAATCCAAAAAGTAGAGGGAAGAGGAATCAGTGTTTAAGGGACATGGAAAACAAAGTTGAAAAAGAAAAAAAAAAAAAAAAAAAAAAAAAAAAAAAAAAAA